CCCTCTGTTAATGCAGCCTAGCACTGTGTTGGCCTTTTTGGCAGTTGCAGCACACGGCTGGCTCCTATTTAAGGGATTGTCCACTAGGACTCCGAGGTCCCTCTCACAGTTACTTCCTATATTCATCCAAAACTGAAGAAGCTTTTGGGAGGAGAAGGGAAACGTCTTCGTGGGAAAACCCAAGGAAATCCGGTGGCCTCTTGAAGGAAGCACCTTTGGGACGACCCTGGCCTGAAGGATGGAGAATCCCCTGTCGGCCTAACAAAGAGGAGACTTGGGGGAGGGGTGCTGGGGCCAAGAAAGAGGGGGGCCGAAGGGGGTGGGAATGCCAGAGGGGGAGACCAAGGCAGGAGGAAAGAAGCAGGCTGAGGGGCTTTGGTCACGCACAGAGGGTGGAGGGGGATCCAGGAACAAGAGGGAAGGGGCCGGGCGGGAGGAGAAGGCCGAGAACTTCCTGACAGTGAGGAGCATTAACCAGTGGAACAACCTGTCTCCAGAAGCGGTGAATGCTCCATCACTGGAAATTTTTAAGAAGAGACTGGACAGCCATTTGTCTGAAATGGTGTAGGCAGGGTTTCCTGCCTGAGCAGGGGGTTGGACTAGATGACCTCCAAGGTCCCTTCCAACTGTGTTATTCTTTTTTTTCCTTCCTTCCTTCCTTCCTTCCTTCCTTCCTTCCTTCCTTCCTTCCTTCTTACCTCCTGCCTCTCATTTGGGTGTGTGTGTGTGTGTGTGTATGTGTGTGTGTTGTTAACTATTCCTCCGTCCTTCTCGGGGCTTCGTGTAACACTCCTGACCTTGAAAGGGAACTGCCTGTGGAGCCTGTATCCAGGTGTGCCTTTGGCTTCAGGTTGCTCTCCTGCTGTCAACCTCCTGGGGGAGGGAGGGGGGGCTCTTGGCCTCGATCCACCTGCTGGCAGGCAAGCAGCAGCCTCTCCTGGGGGAGGCACGGGGGGGGGGAAGGCTGAGGACCCCAGGGAGAGTAGCCAAGCCCTGCCCGACTCCACAGAGTCAGAGAAGACCAAGAGAAGAAACTCAGGAGGGAAGGAAGCTGTGGAGGAAACCACAGATCAGGGGGGGACACTGGGGGGGGGAAATGGACCACCTTTTGATGCAGTTCGGACTCAGAATAGCCCCCCCCTCCATTTAAGAAGACACCAAGAAGCTTCTTCTCCCAATAAAGGAGAATATTCGTAGCTCAGGGTGGGACTGTTGGGGTCCCTGGTGCTCTCAGAGCTGGCTGCCCTCCTTGCAGACGTTTCATGACCCAACTCAGTCACATAATCAGTGCTGGGAGGGAGAGGGGTCTGAGGAGAGGAGGAAAAGGAGGAGGAGGAAGAGGAAGAGGAGGAGGAGGAGGAGGGAGTCCCTGGTGCTCTCTGAGCTGGCTGTCCTCCTTGCAGACGTTTCACGACCCAAACTAGGTAACACCATCCTCAAGTGCTAGGAGGGAGAGAGGTTTGCCCTCATTTTTATATACTAGTGACTAGATACACGAGCTAAGCTTATATACAAAAAGTGGGAGAATCCCCACCCTCCATTAGCACTGATGACGTTACCTAGTTTGGGAAATGAAACGTCTGCAAGGAAACCAGCCAGCTCAGAGAGCGCCAAAGAGCCCTCGGCTTCCTCTTCTTCTCCATCGTGATGTCGAGGCTGGGCTGCTGCCGAAGGACCGCTGCCTCCACCCACCCACCCCCACGGGCTGCCCACCCACGGCTCGGAAGAGGCCACTGGCCGGGAGGACCCGGACGTGGGGCCTGCCCCCAAAGCAAGCTGGGACGGGCAAAAGAAGCGACGCCGTGTCCACCGAGCAGCCGTGCCAACGAAACCCCCAGCCAGAGCGCGGAAGGGAGGCAGGGAGGGTCCCGCAGCCCCTCNCCAGCTACCCCCTTTCTGCCCTTTAGCGCAGGGGTCCCCAAGCTTGGGCCCTTTATGACTTGTGGACTTCAACTCCCAGAATTCCTCAGCCAGCATCGCTGGCTGAGGAATTCTGGGAGTTGAAGTCCACAAGTCATAAAGGGCCCAAGCTTGGGGACCCCTGGTCTAGAGCAAGGCGGCCCCCCACGGCTGTCTCCCACGGAGCCCGCCCCCTCACCCCCAAGCCCAGAAGCCTCCTCCACACGGGGGGGGGGGGGGAAAGACCTCACAGGTCAGGAGAAAAAGTTCCATGGGTTGGGGTAGTAATAATAATAGTAGTAGTAGTAAAGTTGGAAGGGACCTTGGAGGTCATCTAGTCCAACCCCCTGCTCAGGCAGGAAACCCTGTACCATTTCGGACAAATGGCTGTCCAGTCTCTTCTTAAAAACTTCCACTGATGGAGCATTCACCACTACTGGAGGCAGGTTGTTCCACTGGTTAATTGTTCTAACTGTCAGGAAGTTTCTCCTTAGTTCTGGGTTGCTTCTCTCCTTGATTAGTTTCCACCCATTGCTTCTTCTCCTGTCTTCAGGTGACTTTGGAGAATAGCTTGACTCCCTCTTCTTTGGGGCAGCCCCTGAGATACTGGAAGACCGCTATCCTGTCCCCCCTCGTCCTTCTCTTCGTTAAACTAGACATCCCCAATTCCAGCAACCGTTCCTTATATCTTTTAGCCTCCAGTCCCCTGATCGTCTTTGTTGCTCTTCTCTGCACTCTTTCTAGAGTCTCAGCATCTTTTTTTACATCGTGGTGACCAAAACTGGATGCAGTATTCCAAGTGTGGCCTTACCAAGGCCTTGTAAAGTGGTATTAATACTTCACCTGATCCTGATTCCACCCCTCTGTTAATGCAGCCTAGCACTGTGTTGGCCTTTTTGGCAGTTGCAGCACACGGCTGGCTCCTATTTAAGGGATTGTCCACTAGGACTCCGAGGTCCCTCTCACAGTTACTTCCTATATTCATCCAAAACTGAAGAAGCTTTTGGGAGGAGAAGGGAAACGTCTTCGTGGGAAAACCCAAGGAAATCCGGTGGCCT